GGGTGACGACTCGAGCTACAAGCAAGAGCGTGTGGCTACCGCTATCGAGCGAAGACGCGTGGCAACAGCTGCGTGTGTGAAGCCGACGTGTTTCCGGCAAAGAAGTTTGAAGCTTGGAGAGAGGCCAACTGAAGACGCGAGGTTTCCTGAAAGAGAAACTTCAGGGGCAGCGGAACGACAACAACGCTGGACTTTGAGTGAGTGATTCTCGGAAGAGTATCATCCAGACCTTTGTTCCAAGAACTTTGGACTGAATAGGTTTTCTATCTCTTTAGTCTTTAAGTGTCTTGGTTGTTCAATGCATGCGACTGCATTGTAGTGCGTATTGTTGTCTGTGTCCGTTGTTTTGAGTGTGGCTGATTGTACTGTGTAGTACGTTGTTTGGTGTGTGACATATTGTATTCAACTATTGGGGAGTGTGCATACTTGTGTATTGCTTTTGATCTGCCTATATTGAGAATATAATTCTGTTTTGTTTATCAACTCTCGGCTTTGACTTGTTCTTTGGGCCACAGCCGGCGTCCGCGCGCGCGCCAAAAAGGACCACTTCTAAATTGTCCACGCTTTCGTGGTGCGGTTCGGGGGGCCGATACTTCGGCCCTTGGAATTAGCCCGGCGATCGCCTCCCGAATTAACGGGACTTGTGTGACACTCCCGGAGCCACAAAGTCTCGCTCTGCCGATCAGGGATCCACAAAAGTCGATCCTCCGTCCGCAGTTTTCGAAAGGTCATTTCTTGATTCTCTCACTGTCAACCAATTTGTAGCGCTGTGAAGGACATTGGGTGGAATGACCAAGACTAGGCTGGTGATGACAGCAGCTACTTCTATTTAGGAAGTTTGAAAAAGTGATTTGTTTTCATTTAAAGAAAACGTTTACTGGTTCTCGCTGATACCGCGCCCACCATCTCAGCTTTCACGGGCCCTTGTCTTCTCTCGTCCTCCTTCATCATTTTACCCCTGTCGTTCGCGCCTTTCTCTCTCTCCCTCGGTACCTCGATCTATTTCACGAAAGGCTGGGGTGGCTCGCAGGAAGAGGAGGAATTAGGGGGTGTGATCCACCAACACGGTGCCCAACTCCCCCTCGAAGGGCACGGTTGCTCAACTGTGTTAGTTCGACTCTTCGGCTTCCCGCAACAGCCGCCGCATTCCGCGGGGCTTTCAGTTGGCGCCAGCACACCCGTATCGCCGCACAATGGTCAGCTAGTAACAGTCGCCACATTCGCGGAACCAAGTGGTGGCGACTGCACGCCCGTCTCGAACACATCAATGGAAGTGGGATGCAACACCACACGTATGATGGGTAAAATTATGTAGGGACATTGCAAATTAATGTCTGCTTGAAAGTACTTTTGCAAAAAATTTGTACTCAACGTTGCACAATGTAATTGGTCTGTATTCAACAAAGTGATGAAGGTTTTCTCCATCTGAGCACTGTTGCTTTTATAAAAGATTGTGAAAGCGTCTCAAAATACAGACAAAGCGTCAAAACGTCAAGCAGTACAGGGCACCGTACTGATAATAATGTTCTGTAAAACTCGTCGGATATTCCATCATGTCCTGGCATTTTTGACAGTGGTAACTGTTCAATGGCACGTTTGATTTCTTGTATAGTGAATTGCCCATTAATGAATTCACATTGTTTGTCATCTAGAGGAGTCACAAATGACAAAAACTGCGTCACCCATCTTTGTTTTCATATTGAGAAGAGGAGTTGAAAATCTTTGTATTAAGTTTCAAATTTTGACATATTCCCACTTCAATTATTACCAATAATCCGCTCGAGTAAAGGTCTGTTTAAATTCGATTTGGCGCTGCGATATTCACCGAGTAGGCCTTGACGTGTGGGCTACACGGAATGCGGAATACGAGTATTGGGGGATCGAACACGGGCACCTCTGTAAAGCAAAGATTCATTCCTCTGGAGTGCGTTTTCGCGTTAGCTATTCTGGCTATATAGCGACGCGGGTCTCACGCTCAAATAATAAAGCCTTGCCGGAGCTTGAGACTTGTTCGCGAACTTGTCCGAGGGACGCTCGATGTCGGAAATTAAACCATGTCATCATGAGTAATAAAACGTTTAAAACAGCAAAGGAAAAACCAGGCGTCACACACTGCAAATAGCGCAACGAGTGGGTCGTTTAATGCCCTAACCCATTAAAAAAGCTTGTTTTTGATTACCTAATAACTGTGGCGCATACCCACTTTAGGCATAACTCGTCATCGTCAGCCACTGCATCAACAATTGGTACAAAATTACTTGAAAGTGTTCATCGGATACAACGCTTGTTTAAAAAATGATGAAAAATAGCTAAGCGAATGCTGCTGTACTATCAAGACATTATTATTATTGAGGCCATGGTCGGTACCTAGCAAGTGGGCACAGCTGTTACCTATTCAGTGTTCAGAAAGGCTCCGAAGCCCGCTCTTCTAACTTTCACTCTGTCTCTCCTTGGGACTTGTTCTCAAACTTTCCTCAAGCACGCTCGATGTCGGCAAAGAATCGCGTTATTATGAGTATTAAAGCGTTTCAAAACAGTAAAGGAAAAAAAAAACACGCGTCACACACTGAAAATAGCGTAAGAAGTGGGTCATCCAATGCCCAAACCTATTACAAAAGCTTGTTTTTGATCACCTAATAACTTTTGCGCATTTCCGCTTCAGACCAAATTCCTTATCTTCGTCTGGTACCGCATGAATAATTTGCACAAAATTACTTGCAAATGTTTAGCAGATACAACGCTTCATTAAAATGGCGAAAATCAGCATAGTGAATGCTGCTATAGTACCCAGAAGTTATTATTATGAGGCCATAGTGGGCACCAAGCAAGTTTACTTGCAGTGTTTCCCCAACGACTGTTCGGAAAAGGCTATTGAAGGCCGCTCTTCTATCTTTCTGTGACTCTGCTGCGCCTTCCACGCAGGCCTGATTTTCTTCTAACAATCGAAACGAGAGCGACCCTAAATTCACAACACTCTTTCTGGTATGTACATACAATCACAAACTGCATAGGCACAACGTCACAATGTTCGATGGAGTATAGCAAACGTAATGCATCAAATCAGCTGTGAGTTTTTTGTTATCAACGCTCCATTATTTTCGAACTTGGTGCCTACGCTGCTTATGGATATATATGCCTTAGGTTCCGCCTTCAATAAAATTGGCTGTCTGCAGGCGCCTACGTTTGTCTTCCTTTGTGATGAATCCTATTTAATGCATTATTCACAATTAACTGAATTTATTATTGAAATTAGTACTACATTTATTTTTTAACTGATAAACATTAATATATATAGTTTCTGCTGTATATTTTCATCTTATCTTTCCTTTTTGCGAACTTAACACTCGTGACGTTTTTACTGGTTTCAGGTGACGTAGATTCGAGTTTTTATATGGCTGACTACATATAGTGAGGCTGTTGGAACCGTGAAACTGTTGTATATTGTTGTAGTACAGACTATTGCAAATTGACTAGATAGTAAGACTGTTGCAACAATAAGACTTTTGTATAACGTTTTACGAAGCAAATTAAGACTGGTGCACATGCTTGCTGTTACGAGCATCTACACCTAAATTATTACCTTAACAAATACCGACTCAAGGCGTATCGCTTTGCATTTTTTGAAGCGAAGTTGAAATAACTGAACAATTTTTTTATTCTGTCGTCGCTACTCTTACCAGAAAAAAATAGTTTTAGTAGCCCCATTACAAAAACTAGGAATGCAAGTAAATCTACCAGTACTTTTATCACTTGGTGGCACTTCATTCGGTTACTGCCACAGAAATATATGCTCCACTTTGTTTCATTACATCAATCCAACTAAAAGATTACCGTGCTTGTGAACCCTAACCTTTTCAGATGTTTAGATTATAATTCGTAGCGAAGTCGGTCAGCAACAAGAGATGGTTCCACTGCTTGCTCGGCGAACATTTTCGTTTATAGACAGTATTTTCTCTAAAGTAATTTTTCAGAAATACATTATTTCTATTTTAGTTTTATTTAGGTATCCTTACACCCGGTTTTTGGCCCCTCTCCCGCAGTGGGAGAATGCCATTCATCTGAGGCCATCAGCATCAGCGGACGGAAAACGACGACGCTGAGAGATCTAACCTGCTTGCGTCCGGTCTTCTTTACGACATGGATCAGTGATACCCGGTGGTAATCAATCGACGCTGCATCACAGATTCTACTACAGAATTATGGACCGAGGTTCAACACGTGTTCGATGCTGCTGAAGGCGGGACGGCACAAATGTTTCGCCAGTCAGAAATGGCAGACGACAATGATTTGGTTGCTTGTTTGTTTGTTTGTAGCTTAGAATTCATGGCTCATACCCACTCTGGGGAATTACAAGGAGAACATATAGTCTCATTTAGACGATAACTGCACTATCGCTTACAACAAAAAAAGGAAAAAATGTTGTAGAATGAAGACAGTATAATAAAAAACGAAAGAAACCAATTATCAGATAGTGAGCGAAAATTCTACAAGAAAGTAGGCACTAATAGCTATGTCTTGATTTTAGGAGCCGACCAGACAGCTGGCTTTGCCAAACCCGAATAGTTTGGTATGTCATGGATTTATCCAGATTTGAAAATTTCTTTTCGACCCGCTTTTTTTAGTATCTGTAAACGTGGGCTTTATGTTGAAAAACGTTTAGAGTCTTGAATAAAATTACACACCGCATCCAATTCATCTCTGTGACTATTTTCCAAAACGACAATATTATGAAAGTAACATTCTCTTCTTCGAAAAGTGAAGCCGACAAAGCGTGCGCACGAGCTCGGCAGACTAGTCGCTTAATAATAGCCACTAACGATAGGAGAACAACAACAACAACAATAATATGGCTACGTGCAGATGGCTGCTAGTGTAGCCCCGCTAGAGACGGTACCGCACGACTGCTTCGCCACCAACGACCACGCTGCTCGACAGCGCACGCTGAGGACCCTCGGCGGAAACGCGATCTACCCGGTGTTCGTCGTATTTTGGCTACTGCGATGGCTCTGCATGTCAGCGTGGTGGTGTTCGTTTTCAGCGGTTGCCCCAGCGCTCGCCACGAAGAGTGCCACTACGGTCACCTCTCAGCGACCAGTGGCAGCTCCGCCGCAATGGCGGCGTCCAGTGGGGACCCTGACGCGAAGCTGCTTATACGACAGAAACAACACCACAAGCGGGCCTTCGACTTCATCTCCAAGGCGGTCAAGTATGAAGAGTTGGCCAATGACCTCTACCGCAATGGTATCGAGGAACTACAGAAAGGCATCACCAACAACTTCGCTCAAAGAAAAGGTCCTTCATGGGAGTGGGCGCACAGGCTTACTGATAAGATGAAGGTGAACCTCGACATGTGCAAGGACATGCTCGACTCCTTACAGAGCATGGTCAAGATAGAAAATCTCGGTGATGATTTGCCCTGGCACGCGAGCGTGGCCCGGCCTCAGGCCAACCAGAATCACCGAGAATGGCAGAAGGCGGCAAACGGTCACGACGCAGCCCCAGTACTGGGTGGTCCAATGTGGCTAAAGATGGCCCAAAATGGCGGTTCTGGCAGCCAAGTGAACGAGAGGTCACCGCCTCTGCCGCCGCGTATTGGTGCTACGCTGAAGAACCAGGCCGCAATAGCATCGCTACAAGGAGTGGCGATGCATGCAGTCGCCCCACGTTCCCAGACACTACCTGGGAACACACCGGTTGGAGGTGCTTGGACGACGGACGAGTCCTGGTCATGGCTTTCTCAGCCAGCTGCCAATGAAGCTGGACCGATGCCAACGGCAGCGAGGCCGTGGCTAACCAGCAGTAACTAATCGCACAGCAGCTCAAGGGTCGACAGCCACCTGCTGCAGCAGCACGACCCAACTCCCGAGGAGGATCCTTCCGTGGCGGTAGCGAAGGAACGCGGGTGTCGACACTAAGGGCGGGAGGTCGCGATTCACTCACATTTTTGACGAGATCGTAGACAGTGGGCCTGAGGTGCTTTCCTGTGACATTGTTAGCCAAGAATTGATCAAGCATGCAATCGGTGAACTGGTGATCCTACCTACACACAGGCCAGAGCACTTTACAAGACTTTGAGCACATTCCAAGGGCCTGTTCTCTCTGAGCCACAAGGTAACGCGAAGACGATGCTTGTGATGGCAGTAGCCCATGAATCCCACTCTACGTTCCTGAACATCAGCGTGGCTTCGCTAACTCATAAGTTCTTTAGTGATGGAGAGAAGCTGGTTAGTGCTTTAATCACTGTTTCACTAAAAATGCAGCCTAGCTTCTTTTTATTGGCGTATGGTAAAATATTGATTAGTACTGGTGATTTTTACTTATTTACGTTTATCTCTTTTCGTGCGAGAGTGCTTGAATAAATAAACCTATTGTCGTATTGTATAGGTTACTTTATTACATTTGATTTCATGTTTCTGTTTTGCTTAGGTATTGTTATGAGAGTGTACTTTGTGTTAATTTGGTTGTGAAATCTGTATCGATTCCAACAAAAATATAAGAAATGTATCGGGTTACACACGTATAATATTAGGCTAGACAGCCTGTGGCGGGTGCACATGGAGGTCGGGCATGTGAACGTGGATATTCGAAGTGCACGTTAATATTACAAACAAAATTGTGCGTCATGTAATGAATACTTATTACCATTAAAATGATAATTCAGAATCAATGCGCTCAGTGCAATACACTCGACTTAACTTTTTTTTGCAGAGAGCAATAATTTCGTACTTACTGTGGAAAATGGTAATAAAATAATTCAAAAGCGCTCATTGGAATGGCATCGTCGTCTTGCTCATATAAGATGCTGTAAGCCCCAGAAGATGCCATTCTTTCATTTATGTAAGCGAAAATGTACGCTGTTTGTTTGCTTTGTTGGTTTTATTGAAGCTTGTGAACGAACTGAGTATTATTTCTTGATTAAATCAATTATTCCACAGTTCTTGAAGCCATTAGGCTCATGCGTTTCCGACAAAATGTTTTCACGCACTGCTGCATTTCATTCATGTTATTTGAGTGCGAAGCATTACTTAGTGAAATTCGGCGACTTTGAACGTATCTATCTATCTATCTATCTATCTATCTATCTATCTATCTATCTATCTATCTATATATCTATCTATCTATCTATCCGCCTACGACTTCAAACTTTCCTGTCGTTTCGATATAGCATCGATACCTAAATTAGTATAGCATAACATGACTGTATGACAAGCATAGTGACTAGTCTTAACATGAAAATCATGAAATGCATTACATGAATGTCATAAATCAGAAATCGTGATCTTGCTGCTTTTGCGATGGGTACTTTCACATTACACATTACAAAACTGGTATTGCATGACATGACTACATGGTGAACATAAGTGACGGATGCTAACGTACAAATGATGACATGCATGTCATGTAGGTCTTGAGGAAACGCCATGCTCATAGTGTGCTCGCGGTCGTTTCGCAAGCTTAACATACACCGAAATAGGCATTACGGGACATCAATGGATGAAAAAGGTATATGACTGTTGTAAACATGATGTTGGTGACATGCGTGTCATGTAAGAAAATAGCAACATACCGTACTCACGATGTGATCATGGTCATTCGCTAGCTCCACATATACCAAATTTGGTATCACTTGACGTGAACAGACGACAAAAATAATTGGTGTGCCCAAACATGATATTCTTGTTGTGCGTGTCAAGTAAAACATGAATACATTCTTCGTTCATAGCGCCAAGTGGTCATTTTGCTGGCTCCACATCTAACAAGTTTGGTATCACGTGACGGTAATTGATGACGAAAATGGTTGAGATGTCTAAACATAGTAATCAAGACTTATAATGCATGTACGGCATAGTTGACGTCCGCCTCGTAACGTTGTGTTCATTCTAAAGCGACATATTAACCTTCCCCGTTCGTGCTTCGCATATCATTGATCCCAACTGTACATGGAATCTGTAATTGTTGACGTTAATTGTTTTGTTGATATCTATATAATATTTTTTGAATAAATCTAGAGAATTCATCGCTTATTTCCCTTAGAGGCTTGGTGACTCCGAAAAAAAAAGCAGTCTCATCAGGAGCGTCATTACGAATATGAAAATGGCTGTGTTCCAATTCTCAGACAGCATCGTAGACAGTCTGCCTATACATATAGCCGTCTTCTTAGAGGACTTGAGACAGCTTCGAACCAATTATTTGAATGCGTCACGGCCACAAATCTACGAGCCTTCGTAAATGCCTCGCATCGGTAAATGAAGGCTCAAAAAAGAAAACAAATACTGGAAATAAAATAGGTCGCTTTATGGGCTGAACTGCGAAATAAAACAATTTTACGGGCATTTAAACTCGAGAAAAGTTTCTTTTGTATATAGTAATTGGATTTCTATGTCACACAAAGAGCAGACAGTTCTATCCTATAGTGTGCTGCAGATGAAAAATGAACGACATCCAGCCGCTGTAGGCAGACGAACAGCTCTTGCTTGGCATGATGACTCACTGGATGTGTTCTTCAAGTACAATGGTACAGTACGTTCTCTCCCAGGGGAAGCCAAAGGTAAGTATTTTTCAATAATGTGGGTTGCAGTTCGGGTCTGGAAGCTTGTTTACCGCTTCCGGGTGCGGTATCGTGCACAGGGCGGAATTAAGTTCAGAGTCATGACGAGTGCGCTACAGGACACACTGCGAAAGTCGTCACCTAACGTGCCTGGAACTTCATGTGTGCTGTCGAAAGCGATGCGCGATTCTCATACTTTTTTTCTGGTGCCTGCTTAATTGTGTTATAAGCGCGAAACCCACTCAACTAATTGCAGAGAAAGCCTGTGATTACCGGGCAGTATGAAGAAAGAAAGGAGAATATTGATTTTATCTATTGCGAGGAATGGAAAGCTATGTACCTTAAGATTAGGATATCCTGAAAAATTGCGTAAGTTAGGTTGGCCGACGTCGCGGACTGCAAGGTAATGATCCCGCCATGAACAGGCAGTTCCTCAGTTGCCCAGGTTCAAGCAGACTTAAGCGAACAAAACTGACAGATGCCTCGGTACAACAATAATCGAAGCGTTGTATGGAGGTAATAAAGTAATTTATACAGTCTACTTACGAGAACGAATCTTCATGAAAGTGTATGTTAATGGCAATTACACTTCTTAGTTTCAGACAAGAGGCTCGTAGTACTACCTCTTGAGAAGGTCGCCGCTGCTGGAATGCCTGCACCAGGGTGAGAGTACATCGATCAAGTGACACTTCAGGGTGACAAAGGAGATGTTGTGGAGCCTGATGGTGCTCCTGTGGGAAAACAGTAATGACAGAACACACAGATGGAGGAAGGAGCTGTACCTTTTTGTTTTTCTTTTGTGGTTAGGTTGCGGAACTAGTTTCCGAGTCATGGCAGCGTGCTTAAGTGTCCCAAGAACCACAACATTCCGAAGGGTCATAATTATTTTGTAAATTATAGTGAAAAATTATGGTCGGCGTGGCTCCATGCAGGTCCAGATTTTGAATTTTCTTCTGTGAGCCCGAAATAACCGGCTACTGATAAAATACATTTAATGCTAAATTTATATTTCAGAACGTGCTTTTTCATGCCATGACACGATCACAGCTATTTTGCCACCTCCAAAAAAGGAATGCTAATGTTAGTTTGTACAGCAATGAAATCAGAACAGTCTCGACCACGAAACCGAGAGCATTGCTGCTTTTTTTAAGTGTGAATACACTTTATAAACGACCGCAAACCATCCACCGCCGTCGGCGGCGTCCGCAGTCTTCTCTCTATCTTTAAAAGAAAGAGGACTTGGTGGGCCGCCGCGCGACGCTCTACCGAATAAGCCACGGACGCGACGCTGATATCGGTGTCAGGAACGCGCCTTATATCTTAAACGCCGCTGCGTGCGTCCCCCTCCCCCTTCGCTCGCTGCAGCTGCGCGCGTACCCCTCTCTCTCGCGCGCTCCCCTTCTCTCTCAGTCTCCCGTCGAGAGCGGGTTGTGCGATGGATGTCCCGGAGGCAACGCTACCATCAACAACGAATGAAGTACAACCGAATGCCAGCACTGCACCCGTCGTTGAAGTGACGGTACCGCGGTGGTTTCGCCGACGTTGTAAGACAAGGCGGCGCTGTGAAGGGCTCGTGCGACCGAACGTAAGCGGGCGAAGCGTGCAGCGGATGCCGAACTGCGTGCTCGCGAGGCCAAGGACAAGCGGGCGAAGCGTGCAGAGGATGCCGAACTTTGCGCTCGCGAGGCCGAGGACAAGTGGGCGAAGCGTGCAGCGGTTGGTGAACTGCGCGCTCGCGAGGCCGAGATGAGGCGTCAGCATCGAGTGTGTAATGGTTCCTGGGAATCGCAATTTGATCACACGGGGGAGTTTACATTAACTCACTGGCGAATGCCAACGGATTTTAAATTTACTTCCCCTCATAGCATCACCCCGTGCATTCTCACTTAACCGTGTTCACCCTCGGGGAAATGCTTGGGAGTTTTCTTCTTCAGAGAATACCGCATGCAGTGAGTGAGCATCGGTAGATCAATGATCAATGGGAGTGTGCGGGCTATATTCGACCATACACCGCGCTTGACACTCGTACGTTAACAATTGCCCATCTAAAAGCAATTGTACTGATAATATACACATATGGCCACTGGCAGTTCAGTCTCGATTTTGTTGGTAAATGCATATTTACTCTATAATGAGTAGCAGAAGCCGCGTTTGGTGATCTCAGAGCTGCAAAGAATTCTCAAAAGGAAGGCTTTATGTTTTATTTCTTGATCACTTCTCTGTAATATACAAAAGTTTATTATTCCATTATACCAATTG